TGGAGGTTTTCTTCCTGTTAAAAAGGAGTTTTTCCTCTCCACTGTCACTACAAGCATGCTTAATGTTAGTCGATGCAATCAATTGGTTTTCCTTGGATAGAAAGCTTTGAATTCATTTGTTTGTATGATCTGGTTAAATTGTAAAGTACCTTGAGAGTACGTGTTGTGAATTGGCGCAATATAAGAATGAATGAATACTGCCTTATTATAAAGCTAATACACAACTATACAGGAATATGTCTAAAAATGTATGAATCTCATCCTTTCAAGTCCATTCCAGTAAATTGTCACTGTTAAGAAAGTAATGCTAAGAGCTAAAGAAATCTCTATATATGTTTCAAAGCTAGAAATTAAATGATGCTTTAATTCATCTATAAAGAGTTAAACACTGCAGGGAAGCTCTGACACCTTCATCATCAGTGATGACTCGGAATGATCCAGATTAGTGCCATCATAATAACACCTGTGGAAGCTATTAGCATGCACTTGAACTTTCATTCAGACCAAATGCTAAGCACTTAACAGGGAAATTGACTCGTGCAGCTGACGGGCATCCAGAGGAAGCTAGAGTTTTTTTCTGATGGAGGGTACACAAAGCCTCTCAGCTCAAAGTTTACTTGTTGCCTTTACTGGTGCTGAAAAGCATCACGAGTCCCGGTGAGCCCTTTCTTGCAGAGATCTTAAGCAGAACCTTAATGGAGCCCCGAAAGAATTGGAGAATGGGAGTCTGAAACTGTCTCCGTCTGAAGATTCACCTTGTTCTAATTGCCTCAAGTCCTATTGATTACCTGAGGCCTCCTCGCACCTTTTCCATGAGATCCATTTACCCTGTGTAATCCCTCCTCAGAGCTAACACACCCGCTTGTCTGCCGTTTTCTTACATGATTAGCCTTATTGATCAAAGACCATGAAGGGATGGACGTCTCAGTTGTGAGCTAGGTCATCTTTGAAACAGGATGACTTTTTGTGCTAAGGAAAAAAAGGAAGAAAGGGTGCCGAGTTACAGGTGACCCAAGCAGCTGATGATCTGCCACAAAGCTTAAAGATACGTCCCTCCATCTGCTGTGTTTAACCAAAATCCTTTTTTTCCTCTAACAACAGCTCACACACACCTACAGTACGTTCAGCATGCAGCACTGAGCCTGAGCTTCCATCACTCGCCTCCTGACAGGCCCGGGGGTGTGTTTAAGGAGCAGCTTGATCCCAGCACCTCTTCCCGGACTTCCTACTGTCACAACACACACTCTCACCGCCAATCACTCCCTTTCTCTTGTCTCTGCGGCTGTCCCTGTAGGGAATTAGGATGACTTCATTCCCATGCAATTAAATGTTCTCACACTGTCTGGTCTATGACTGTGCAGTGTGTGTATGTGCGTGTGTGGTCCGTGTTTCTGTACATATAAGGTGGAAGATCCCTCACAGACACTTGGAGCGAGGACTACGAGCAGATGGTGGAAAAAAAAAAGAAAGTGACTCGATCTAATCTCTTCATCGATCGGAAGAACTCTGGACCCCCGGCGATAACGTCCGACAATCAGAGCAGCCGCCACAGTTGGCAGTCCAGCTGTGTCTGAGCTTAGGTCACCTACTGTACCTTTCGGCTCCTGCTGCAGCTTATCTACTCGTTTTATATTCGAAGTGGAACAGCAGCTGCACACAGACTGAATAGCTGTTAGTTTGGTGGAAGAGTTTTGGCCGAAGGGTGTCGAACTTTTGACAGCAAGAGAGAGCAATGATTTGAAAATGTAGAGGTTAACATCAAGGGGAGTGCCGACATGCAGTGGCAGCACAATAACCTCTGAGTTACGCAAAAATTTCAGCTCTGTTTTTCTAAAAGGGTTACTAAAATTATCAAAGAAAAAAATGAAAACATTTTTATAAATGAAAAAGGAATGCCCTCTTTTATTTAATCATTATGTAAAGTTTAAATTCCTAAAACTACATTTATTCAGTGATTATTCACTCTAAATGGCCAGGATTTGTAATCTGCAGGTGATATGTATCTTCAATTTTAACAATCAGGAACTACAGCAGATCATGCAAAATAACATTTTTGATCATTTAGCTACATTATATTGCTATTTCTTCTTCAAAACCAGGCAAAAATGGATATTTCGCCAGATTTATGCATCTTTGAGTTACTCTCATGAAATCGAAGAATTCCCCTTTCATGGGGTCAAGAGTTAGAACACTATCCAGGGTAGGAGAGGGGCTTCGGACTGCTGTGCTGAATGTGGACAACATTCTGCCTTTTGAACATCATTACATGTACAAGCAAAATAATGACCCTGGTCAAACTGAGATTTGAGCCTACAAATGTAGCAAACGGCTAAAGACTCAAAACATACACTGCAGAAAAGCTGAAATGTAAAAAATATTTTTTTTCTTAAAATAAGGGCATTTTTTCTAGAATTTAGTAGGTACATCAGACACTTTGCCAATGGAACAAGACAATTTGTGTTCAAAATAAGAAAAAAAAAACAATAGCATTGTCCTATTTCAAGTGCATTTTATCCATCCATCCATCCATCCATCCATTTTCAAACATGCTTATCTCAGTGCCTATCTCCAGCTGTCAACGGACGAGAGGCGGGGTACACCCCTGACAGTTTGCCAGTCCATCGCAGGGCAACACAGAGACAAACAACCATTCACACACGCACACACACTCGCACCTAAGGGGACTTTAAAGAAGCCAATTAACCAAACACTCATGTTTTTGGACTGTGGGAGGAAGCCGGTGTACCCGGAGAGAACCCACGCATGCTCAGGGAGAACATGCAAACTCCATACAGAAAGACCCTGGGAAGTGAACCCAGAACCTTCTTTCTGCAAGGCAGCAGTGCTACCCACTGTGCCACTGAGCAGCCCATGCATTTTATCTAATTGTCTGATTTTAAGAGTAAAAATACTCATTCCATAGGCAAATCATGTTATTTACCTACTCAAATTAAGGCAAAAAATATGTTATTTAAAGCTACAGTGTGTAATAATTACAGGGATATACAGTCAGAAATGTAATATATTATACATAACTATGTTATTTATCATCATCTACGAGCTCAGCCTCTTAACCTTAATATTTGCGTTGCCTTAGAATTCGTTATTTATAATTACATCGGAGCGGGTCTCGCAGCCATGGAGGCAGACATCTTTGCGCTACGGCAGCGCAGAGCCAACAAACTAGTGATTGCGAGATCGCCAAAATGTCACAACGATGTAGAAAAAATAACGGGTATATTTATTATCTTAAGTCTACATGAAATCTATACCCTACACAGACTAATGAAATACTATCTGTAAAATTATCTATGTAAACAAACCTCATCACTTGAGAAGGTAGGTGATGCTGACGTCGTGGAAGACATTTTGTCCCGTAACGCTCGCCGTACTGTTGGGGGGGAGAAGCGGTGGGGGGGAGATGTTCATGTTGCTGCAGTCTGCAGTCTGACCGCTAGATGTTGCTAAAAGTTACACACTGTAGCTTTAAGAAGTGGTCACTTATTTCCAGATAGTTTTTTCAGTGTATGAAGATAAGGACATCCGCATGTCTCACACAGTACATGTCGTAAAAAAAAATATTTTTTTAAACTACCTAAGGTGGGCTATGTCCCGGCATTTAAAGGACTGTGGGCAACCGTATAGCTCCTAACAGCACCTAGGGATGTCAGAAGGTCCCTATGCTAACTGGATTACCATTAGGAAGCCTACTGCTTCCTATTCCTACCTCCTTCCTAAGTGCCAGCACAACTCAGCTTGCACCTATTATGGCCACCACTACCGCTCTTCCAGTGCTGCTAAATTATCCTTTCGGACTCAAGATATTTAGATGCAACATTGGTTTTGTTTAACGGACAATGTTTTTCTTCTAAGTTAATAGATAATATTTCATAACAACTTAATACTCATTAGTGCTAAAGGCATTATTTTCATTATATATTTGCTGTGAAAGGCTAAAGAAACATATTGTTAGGAAATTTGGAGCTTGGAAGGACCCTTATACAAGCAGGGTGGGATAGACTGATGTGTGGAGAAGTTTTCATGCAAAAGTAAGCTAACATCCAGATACACTGCAAAAACGATCTAGAAATAAGTAAAATCTTCTTAAATTAAGTGTATTTACCCTTAATTTCAGCAGGTAAACAAGGTGATCTGCAAATTGAATGAGTGTTTTTACTCTTAAAATAAGATAATTAGATAATATGCACTTGAAATGAGTAAATTGTCTTGTTCCATTGGCAAAATGTCTCACCTCCTCAATTAAGACAAAATGCACCTTTTTTAAGAAAAAATTACTTATTAAGATAATTTTTTTTTTGCAATGTACAGGTTACAAAGCAGGTATTGTGTGGAACAGGGCATATCAATAGTCATTCAGAGAAACAATACATTGTACCAGTATTAACCGCTCTGAAGAGAGAAAGAAAACTGACAAGAAATCTGTGGTAATGGACACGAGCAAATAAAGCTGATCACTTGGTAACCTGATTTACATGATAAGATGCCAAGGATGATGGCAGCTGAATGTGATACGACTTCTTAAACTGAAAGAAAACAACAAATCATAACTGAACTAGAGCAAGATGGATGGAAAGATCTAACAAATGAGAGCTGACACTACAAGACACTGAACTAAGATAGATTTTAAGAAAGGGGCTAAAGAGTAAACTGAAGAGCAAGAAAAAACAACTAATAATGTAAAAATGGCAAGGCCAAAATAGAAAAACTATTACAAGGATAAGGCAAGACCAAGTAGAGAATTTCTAAATCAAAACCTTATATGGAAAAATCCCAGAACATAAAATACAACCTCAAAAAATAAACAGAACACAAAACTTCCACAGGTTTCTGCTGTATAAAAGGAATAAATGAAGCCAACAGGGAAATGGTCAACCCGGCATATGTAGATGGAGAATTATTGATGAGGGTTTGCTGAATAGATGATACCAAAGAGATTTGAATTTAAATCTCTCAAACCTCTTACAAAAAACGTATCTTACCTTTTTCTTGTTGGTAGGACAGATGTAGAAACTTGTCACCACAACGGTTGTCCCCGGTATCAGGTTGAGTTTGGTGTAGGTTGTCCCATAATCAGTGGACCTTGAAAGACAGAAAGAAATAAAGAATCTGAAGTTAGTCATTTGGTTTACAGTTAAGCTGAGAAGTTTACATTCACTGATTAAATACTTCATGGAGGTTTATATAGTAAAGTGCCATAGTTAGTTTCAATGGGTTGATTGATTTCCTGATGCTGATACCACCATACATTATGGTTGGTATTGAAATCTGAAGTCTCACCCCTGGCAGTGTGAGCGACCAACCGGTCAGGAAAGTGTACAAAAAATATTATTAATTTATTTCCCCAAAGTTCCTTTGGACTCAAGGACTCAAAATTCAGAAAAAATGGACCAAAAGAGGACAAATCTAGCCAAGAAACAAACTAGAAGTGAACTCTAGCCTACAAACAACAAGGATGAGAGGTAGAAAACATAAAACAAACAATAAACTGATTCCAACCCACAAATCATAACTACAACACAATTATGAAACAAGTGGAGTTTTGAGCGTTTGATAGCTTCTCAAGAGTCAACCCCATCGTCTGGGCCTCACTTTCTGGTGTTACATTATATTTGCTCCCCCAGCTAGCTCCTTCAATCTCAGCAAAAGGGATCCATTTGCTGAGTACAAATTCAGCGGGTGTGTATCCTCCGAAGGCCAGATTCGTCGACTGTTTACGTCATTTTTGGATTGGAAGACTCCTTGTTATGTCGCAAACAAATGCAGCGTTCTTTTTGCCTGTTTAGAAAGACTGGTCCAGTGTGTCATCTGTAGCCTAGGGTATCCTGTCAATCTTCCCTAATCCACACAAGCTGGCTCTCAGAGGTAAAAAGGGAAATCGTGCCCAACAGTGGTGTATATTGTAAGTGCATATCAATATATTGCAAGTATGTGCAGAGTTACATATAAAATAAATAAAAATATATTTTTTTAATGGTTATTGGGTCCGATATGTTGCAGATAATGTTAGGTTTATTGAAAGGTTTTATCTGTCCCTCTATTTAAAGGAGTTTCGCTGACATTTGAGCACAAATTCCAATATCTCTGCATCGTGGGGACCATAAATCTGATATCTAAGACGATTGTATTTCTACTGAAGCTCCTTGAAAAATGTTATTAGCACACACCTGCTGAGACCCTTTAATTTAGTGAAAGGGTGGAGTCAGAAAAAATATATATAAAAGAGGGGGTCACTCCAGTTGCAGAGAAGTGGGCCACCATTCAGCTGCTGTTTGACGGGGAAGGGCTATTTTAAATGGCTGCTACTATACCAACATCTTTTGTAGGTTAAAATTTTCCTTGCAGGGCAAATGTGTGTCACTCAACGTAATGTCCGCAATCTCTCATGCAGCTTTTGCGTCAATGTAGGACGAGTTATCTAAGTTTTTTTTTATTATTCGAGAGTTCTTCCTGACCACCCTTACTTATTGACAGTTTGGATCTTCTTTCAGACCTCGGTAGAGAAGTAGCAGCTTGTAGCCAAGGTTAGTCATTTGAACAGATATAATGGTTAGAAAGTGCTTTGCCATGTTGAGTAAATCTACAACAATCATTTTTAGATCTGTATCAAGCGTTGAGTTGTTTGACAAATTATAAGTTATGTAAAAAAAAATTGATTACTACAGGCAATAAAAACTACCAGCTGAAGCAAACCTTCACTGGTCAGACTACCCAGGTCTTGGCTTCGTCAAGGTGAAAGAAATTCATGTTATAGTTGTATAATGTGGCAGTTGAAAAATTATTATTCCACCCAGGGAAAACACTTTTTTTTATTTATTTTTTTATTTTTATGGCACTAGTGGCTTGTTTTTTTTTTTTTTTTTTTTTTTTTTTATGGTAAGTAGGCTGACAGGAAAGGGGGTATGAGAGAGGATGAGAGACATGCGGCACAGGCCGGATTCAAACCCGGGTCGGCCGCGTCGAAGACTAAGGCCTCTGTACATGGGTCTCTAACCACTGTTCCACCTGCACACATGGGAAAACAAATGTTAAATTGAAATAAAACTTATGAATTTTGAATATATACCTCTACTTTTCCATAGTCTTCATTTTTTCTGCTCAACAATAAGCACATTTTATGCAAATACACATCAGTTTGTTTGCAGCTAATATTGATTAATAAGAATTTGCAATCTTTCATTCTTCTGTTACCCTCTGATACTCTTATCCACCTGCTACCCCTCCATGGAACTCCTTTGGGTTAACAAATCTACAAAAGCAAGGTAAAAGACTGACCTCATTGTTTTCTAAAACTGCCCTAAGGTTAGCCTATATCAGCTTTCCATTCACCATAATACTGCTTTATGTTCTGCAGACTGATCGCGGTGACAAATCAGGACCGGCTGGTCAAACTGTGATTGCCCCAGTGCCTCAAAAACGGCCCCTGGCTAGCTATAAGGTACTAACTAATCTTCAAATCTGGCAGCTTAAAAAGTAGTTCTAGAGTGCTGTGTGCAGGTGAGATTGATAGCTAGCTGCTGTAATGGTTCTGCAGTCAGACTCGGGTACAGTCGAGAAAGGAAAATAAATGTTTGAACAGGTTTTTAAACCCACAAAATATGAGTTGGTCATTTATTTTGATAAAATGTTGAACCTCCTGCCTTGAAAAATGATTTTTGCTGGGTTTTTTGCATTTTTTCTCACGTCACAGCTCATCACTGATGTTTTAATGCCAGGCTAAGATGACCTAAGATATTAAAAATGATTGAAAAGGGAATGCCCACATTTACTTAATCATTATGTAATGATGTAAATTATGTATTTTCTTTTTTTTTTATAATTACAGGTGCTGGTCATAAAATTAGAATATCATGAAAAAGTAGATTGATTTCAGTAATTCCATTTAAAAAGTGAAACTTGTATATTATATTCATACATTACATACAAACTCATATATTTCAGATGTTTATTTTGTTTAATTTTGATGATTACAAATGACAACAAATGAAAATCTCAAATTCATCATATCAGAAAATTTGAATATTGTGAAAAGGTTCAAAATTGATGGCCCCTGGTGCCACACTCTAATCAGCTAATTAACTCAAACCACCTGCAAAAGCCTTTAAATGGTCTTTCAGTCTAGTTCTATAGGCTACACAATCATGGGGAAGACTGCTGACTTGACAGTTGTCCAAAAGACGACCATCGACACCTTGCACAAGGAGGGCAAGACACAAAAGGTCATCGCTAAAGAGGCTGGCTGTTCACAGAGCTCAGTGTCCAAGCACATTAATAGAGAGGCGAAGGGAAGGAAAAGATGTGGTCGAAAAAAGTGTACAAGCAAGAGAGATAACCGCACCCTGGAGAGGATTGTGAAACAAAACCCATTCAAAAATGTGGGGGAGATTCACAAAGAGTGGACTGCAGCTGGAGTGAGTGCTTCAAGAACCACCACACACAGACGTATGAAAGACATGGGTTTCTGCTGTCGCATTCCTTGTGTCAAGCCACTCTTGAACCACAGACAGCGTCAGAAGCGTCTTGCCTGGGCTAAAGAGAAACAGGACTGGACTGCTGGTGAGTGGTCCAAAGTCATGTTCTCTGATGAAAGTAAATTTTGCATTTCCTTTGGAAATCAAGGTCCCAGAGTCTGGAGGAAAAGAAGAGAGGCACTTCATCCACGTTGCTTGAAGTCCAGTGTAAAGTTTCCACAGTCAGTGATGGTTTGGGGTGCCATGTCATCTGCTGGTGTTGGTCCATTGTGTTTTCTGAGGTCCAGGGTCAACGCAGCCACATACCAGGAAGTTTTAGAGCACTTCATGCTTCCTGCAGCTGACCAACTTTTTGGAGATGCAGATTTCATTTTCCAACAGGACTTGGCACCTGCACACAGTGCCAAAGCTACCAGTACCTGGTTGAAGGACCATGGTATCCCTGTTCTTAATTGGCCAGCAAACTCTCCTGACCTTAACCCCATAGAAAATCTATGGGGTATTGTGAAGAAGAAGATGCAATACACCAGACCCAACAATTCAGAAGAGCTAAAAGCCACTATTAGAGCAACCTGGGCTATCATAACACCTGAGCAGTGCCACAGACTGATCGACTCCATGCCACGCCGCATTGCTGCAGTAATACAGGCCAAAGGAGGCCCAACTAAATACTGAGTGCTGTACATGCTCATACTTTTCATGTTCATACTTTTCAGTTGGCCAACATTTCTATAAATCCTTTGTTTTTATTGGTCTTCAGTAATATTCTAATTTTCTGATATGATGAATTTGAGATTTTCATTTGTTGTCATTTGTAATCATCAAAATTAAACAAAATAAACATCTGAAATATATGAGTTTGTATGTAATGTATGAATATAATATACAAGTTTCACTTTTTAAATGGAATTACTGAAATCAATCTACTTTTTCATGATATTCTAATTTTATGACCAGCACCTGTATATAGTTAATGAAGGAAAAAAAAGCCCAACCCACTTTCCTGTGTGGAAAAAAAGCAAAAAAAAGGCGTCAAGCTTTATAGAAACCTGTATGAGTCACTGGGAAGCGCATTTGGCCAACTCTTTATAGCACAAATGTCTTAATTTGACTGCATCATTGAGCATGAACACAAAGTTTCACACCGTTTCTAATTTTCTACTTTGACTAGACCACCCCAAAACCTTGATTTTACTTTCTTTCAGAATTCCAGTGATAGACCTGTTGCATAACTGAATCATAGTTTAAAATTAAGGTCACAACTGACAGCTGGACATTCAGCTTCTAACTTCATGTTCTCTCTGCTTCTTGCCATCATAGTACCTTCATCTGGCCTTGTTCTGTTTGGCTGTGACACAATCCTGAAGGGATACATCAGAGTGTCTCTGCTGCTGTCAACAACTTTAATTCTAGATGACAGTTGGGGAAGTTTTTTCAGTGCTCATACCCGTTTCTCTCCTAGATATATCGATGGTCTCAGTTTTTATGATGAAAAACTGTGTTCTCTTTCATCCCCTTTTACATGAAAACAAACTTATAGCTCATCTGCTTAAAATTATCTTTCCTAGAGAGCCACCTAAAGAGTTAGAGATTTTCTAACACAGAAATTCT